GTATAGTCTGGTAGGCACCCTGCACCAACTCCGCATTCCATCTTTGACCCATCCGTAAAGACAGTTAAGCCCTGCAAGAAACCGAAATTTTCCTGATTCCAGTCACTGCGGCTTGGGAATTTTCGCGAAAACTTCCTTCGGACAGGATCTCATTGCACCTGTTAAGCTAGCTGCTGGATTCCGCCTAGCTTTTTAACTACGTAGTCCTTAGTAAGGGCTGACCACCAGACCAGCGCCCCGTAAGAGATTATGGGTCGGACTATCTTCTTGGTTTCTATCTGTTGCCCAACATTATATTGGCTACATAGAGAGCCACCGTGGCCTTCCTAGCAATTTTTGGTTTCCAGTTAAGTTTGGAATCCAGAATAACTCCAAGGTATTTCACCTTGTTTTACAGACGTAGTTTCGTTTAGGTAATTGTGTTTTATTTGTGAAAAGAATGAGGTTAGCTTTCTCAGGGTTTACGCTAAGAGAACAACTTATGGCCCAGGGATCTACTATCTTTAGAGTCCTTTCCATAATTTCACTTATGACCGAAGAAAACTGACCCGATACCAGTATCGCTTCATCGTCGGCGTATGTCACCCGCTTTGATTCTCTGAGAGTACAACTATACCAGTAGTTTGTTTGAGACCAGGAGCCATAGTAACGGCGATAGCACCCCTCTCTGTGGGGTGCCTCTCACTGCATATTGGGCCCTGCTTTGGTACCCCAGTTCGGCATGCATTACTCTGCTCCTTAGCAGAAACACTATCCAAGCCCGGATACAGTGTTCAATCCCTGTTTCCATAAGTGCCTCATGGATGGAATCTACACTAACATTATTAAAAGCCCCCTTGGTGTCTATAAAGGATGCCATTGTAAATTGTTTATAGTAGAGCGAACACTCAATTGTACGTACCACTACATGTAGGGCAGTCTCTGTTGACTTCCCTTTCAAGTACGCATGTTGAGAGCATGATAAATTGGACGTATTGTCCTATATACAGATCCAACAGCCTCTCGAACGTCTTGAACACAAAGGTCATTAGGCGTTTTGGTCGGAAATCTTTAGCATTATCATGGCCCCGTTCGCCCGCTTTAGGATTAAAAATTACTTTAATCTTCTTCCAGCTTAACGGAAAGTGGTTCAGTATTAAGCAACCTCTAGAAATTATATCTATGACTGGAATGACCATCTCAGAAGCTTTCTGAAGCATGACTGGTAGTATTCCGTCCATACCCGGAGATTTAAAGGGTGATAGCAAATTTTATCTTTTTCCTCTCCAGTAGCTCCTCTAAGAAGTCCTCGAAGAGGGTTGGTATATGGTCTGGGGCATCGGTTTCGACTACATCGATTTTGAACCCTGGAAAATGTGTATTCAGAAGGATATTCATCGACTCCCCAGCCGACTCGGTCCATGAACCATCTGACCTTTTTATATATGTATGCTGTTCCCTTTGGCAAGGACTTTGCTTAATCTTGCAGATTTGTTGGTATCCTCGATGGATTCGCATAATTCCCCCCAGGACGCCTCCTTGGCGTCCCGCATCGCTTTTTGGTATTTCTTTAGGTTCTCTCTGTATAGGTCCCATACATTATTCCTGTAGCATTTGTTGAAGGATTTTATTACTTGCTTCCGTAGCGCTGTAAGGTTCTCACTCCACCAAGATGTGCGCTTCGTTTTGTCTTTGTTCACCACCAAGCCCATTCGCTTTCCCTCTCTATCTATTTATTTTTAACTCCTTCTAATATAAGTTAAGTCATAGATTCTTATATTATTGATAATTTCTTAGGAAGTGAAGGATTCACAATGATTTCAACCGCTACTTAGATCTTATATTTGTAAGTAGTAATATTAAGTTTAATGTTCAGGTCGCCGCTTCATCGCTCTCTTCATCTACCTTATATCATCACACTTTGCTGCTTCACATTGTATTTTTTGAGTATTTTGAGGTTAATCATAAACATCAAGAAATTGCATTTAATTATAACTCTTTTAATTTCGATGCCATCGATAACGCATTTCTTAACATCCTTTGGGATGATGCTCTTGGTGATGGTGGTATTGCTAGTTGTTTTCACCAGTTTAAAAGTACGGTGTTTAATATTTGTAAAAAACACATTCCAGTTCATGCTAAATTGTCTCATAAGTTTCCTTGGTATTCGAAGAAACTAAAACGTTTAAAGAACTTGAGGAATAAGATTTTCAAAACATTCCAGTCAACTAATGAGCAGGAATACTTTGATTTGAACAAATCTCGCTACAGGGAGTATATCAATAGCTTCGAAGTTAAAATTTAAAATAATCCAAAAAGTGTCTGGCAATTGGTTAAGTCTAGAAAAAATTTATCTACGGTTCCCACTTCGGTTTTCTGTAATGGTTTCAAGGATAGTAATATTTTAGAGGCTGCAAACCTCTTCGCTAATTATTTCTCATCGAACCTCGTCACTGATGATGATTTTTCTAACGATGGCCTCTCAGATATACTTACTCAGGATTTGTACAGTGTTTATTCTAATTTCAATCTAGGGTCATTAGTTCTGTCTGACGTTTACATTATTAAAGGTATTGTAAGCCTGAAGCCCTCAATGCAGACTGACATAGATGGCTTATCCGTGGTGCTATTGAAAAATTGCCTTTCTCTGGTGACACCATTAAAAATTATTTACAAGTCACTTGCCTCAAGAGTCTTTTCTGACGCATGTAAACTTACTGCGGTTACTCCGGTTACTCCGGTTTTCAAAAACGGTAATAAAAGCGATGTCTGTAATTATAGGCCAATCTCGAAGCTGTCAAATGTTTCGAAACTATTTGAGAGTGTTATAAAAGAAAAACTATTTTTCAACATTAAGCAACTTGTTTGTCCAAATCAGCATGGTTTTGTCTCTGGAAAATCTACTACTACTACTACTATTTCTCAATATTAAAAAATGTCACAAGAACATCTATGGTCTATGGTGGATTTGCCAGGTCTAAAGCCACACTGATAATACCTTATAACCTATGCTTAGAAGTCTGATCTAGCGGTAGTTGGCGCGTATGGCGGGATCGCCTTTCTTGTGGATTGGGCAGAGCACACTTAAATTCCAGTCGTCGAGCATGCGTTCATCAGACCATATTCTGCATAAGAGTTGATGCATGCACCATATAAGCTCTTCGCGGCTGTACTTGAACAGCTCGGCTGGCAGGTTATCAGCTCGAGCAGATTTGTTGTTTTCGCTCCCTAATTTAAGTACGTTCTGGACATCGGTCAGTAGGTCTCCATGGTTGTTCTTATAGGAGTTCGCCATGGTATTGAACCTTCCGTAAGTCGCCTAACTCTCTGATAAAATGTTCGGGCGTTTTTCCTGTCGGCCAGCATCTTAAGCTCTTCGCACTCACGTATTTCGGCCTCTCTGTTTTAATTGCGGCAAATGCTTATCGCTTCCTTCTTCAGTTCCCTTTCCCTATAACAGTCCCACTTTGCTCACGTTGCGCCCGATCGCAGCGTGACCCTGTAGGCGGCACCTTTTTGCTCTACAGCTTTTTGACATTCCTCATCGTGCCAGTTATTCTTTCGGGCTTGCTGTACCGGTGGCGGTACTTCGTGAGCGGGAAATGTGGTTCCTCAGCTCGCGTATGTCGGTTTGTTGAAGAGTGCTCTCAGAGAGCAGGTGTGAGAGTCAAGTAGCCATCTGTTGTGAATGCATATTTTATACTGCACAGAGGCGGGTGCGTATCTTTGCTGCAACAAGATAGTAGCCCGAGTCGGTGTTTGTCCCTCGGAGTGTACATACGTCTAAAACACTGGAAGCATGCCTTCCGTCTATCACAACATGGTCGATTTTGTCTCTCTATTTTCGATCTAGAGATAACCATCTAACTTGATGGATCTTTTTAAGCTGGAACCTAGTACTATATATTGTTTCGGGCCCCAGCGAAGTCGAGCAGCCTCAGTATGTTATCTGACGTTTCGTTGTGGAGGCTAAATTTTCTGACAGTGAAGTCAAAGATCCCTTCCTTGCCCACCTTGGCATTGAAATCGCCAAGGAAGATTTTTATATCGTGTGGGGCAGCGCTCGTATGTACACACCAAGTGCTCATAGAAGAGATCCTACGACGCCCCGCTTAAATTTCTTAACCATAAGAATTGGCCCAGTGAAACTAGTACTTGCTTCTTTGTGTCTTCCCTCCCCGTGGGACCGCCGTCATGCATTGCCGCACGGGAAAAAGCGATTAAGTCACCGCTGCTGTTGCCTATGCTCTCTTCTTGCTGTCGTTTGACTTCCCGCCTTATCGCTTCTATTTTCCGCAGCTTCTGCTGAATTTTTTTAACGGCGTTGCATACCCCCAGGTTTTCTACGAATCGGAAGGCAGTTCTTAAAATTCAAGATGGTGGATACAATATGGCGGATGGACTTTTAAAAAAAATTTAAGATTTTTATGAAATTTGATATCCAAAGGTTCTTTGAGCGGCTATAGGTGGCAATTATACGAAAAAAATAATACGTTATTGCACATATAGACACATTCATTTGACACCTCATTTTTTGTAAACCATTTTTGATATATGGATATTTTTTTAAATTAAAATAAATCGGGTACAAACAAGGCTATGCATAGTAAATTTTTCTGTGAAATGCTTCCAAAGTACAAAGGTACATTATTACCTACTCCTGACATTATTTTGTGATATCTAAAAAAAATAAAAAATTAAAAACCGGTGACACTTTTACCTGAACAATTTTTCTTATCAGGGAACTCATCCCCCACCTACCTTTTCCTCAAGTTGGGCAGGGTCCTTCTTGGACACCACATACGTACATGTGCAAGCAAATCAGAAATAAGTAAAGTTGCAAGGAAGGCAAACTTCCTATCTTTTAAGGTACAATTCGCAAATATCGTCACACAACATATGTAGGTACTTGACATTTTTTTGTTAATTTTGACTGGAAACTAACGAGATGTATATGCAATGATATGATCTCTCAGTAGACGCAAATAATAAAAACTTAATTTTGAACTTTAAACTTTTAGACCGCCATATCCATCAAAGATGACTTTGTGCTATTTCCTGGGCATTGCTTATGCTTCCTCCATGGGCGGTTGTGGTACAATAATAGGCACAGCGACTAATTTAACCTTCAAAGGCATCTATGATGGGTAAGTATTGGATTCTCTGAAATGCTTGTTGGTACTCAAAATATTTTTTTACAGTCGTTTTCCACAATCTACAGAACAAATGGATTTCCCCACTTTCATGTTTTACTCTGTACCTTCAATGTTGGTATATACGGGGCTTACATTTATTTGGTTGCAATGGCATTTCATGGGTTTGTTCCGACCAAAGAGCAAAGAAGCAGAAGAAGTAAGGCTAGGTCAAAACGGGGCTGAAGTTGCTAAAAAGGTAATTGATCAACGCTACAAGGAATTGGGACCAATGAAAGCCCACGAAATACAAGTTATGATACTTTTCATATTCATGGTTATGATGTACTTCACTCGTAAACCTGGCATTTTCCCTGGCTGGGCGGACTGGCTCAACGCAAAGTAAATGGGTTTACTACTTTCAAAACTTTCACCACTCCAATCAATATTTTTTACTGCCTTTTTAGAGATATTCGTAATTCTATGCCCACTATATTTGTAGTTGTCATGTGTTTTGTTCTGCCAGCAAATTACGCATTCTTGCGCTACTGTCTATGCAAACGTGAGTTAAATGGAGCCCCTTGCACAAATTAAACTGACACATCATAGAATTTAATACATCTCCATATTTTTGAATTTGAAAAGGTCCCCTAACTACTGGTCCTACACCATCTTTGGTGACTTGGAAATTCATCCAGTCAAAAGTACCATGGGGTCTCGTCTTCCTGCTTGGTAAGTTTCATTACATATGAACATAAAATTTTAATTGTTTTTTTGTATAATAAAATAGGTGGAGGCTTTGCACTGGCCGAGGGTAGCAAAGTAAGTGGCATGGCTTCATTGATTGGAAATGCTTTGGTTGTGTTAAAGAATTTGCCACACCCCGTTTTACTATTGGTAGTGATTCTTGTCGCCGTATTCTTAACGGCATTCAGCTCTAACGTAGCCATTGCGAACATAATTATTCCTGTTTTGGCTGAAATGGTAAAAGACTTCCTTGGCGAAAGTTATAGAATTCATAACAGAATAAAATATTTTACATTTCTAGTCGGTAGCTATACAAGTTCATCCACTATACTTAATTTTGCCAGCGGGACTTGCATGCAGCATGGCATTCCATCTGCCAGTGAGTACACCGCCCAATGCCTTGGTGGCTGGTTATGCCAATATAAGATCAAAAGATATGGTAAGTTTTAAAATATCTAATAGTAAATAAAATTATGTACATATGTACATATTTACATATTTATATTTCTTTAATAATAATAGTAATATCTTGGCGCTTACACATATGTTAGTGTTTGGCCGAGCTTCTCCTCCGATTTGTGGCGTGCGCCTTAATGTTGTCAACCAAAGCGGAGGTACCTACAGTTTTACGCCGACTCCGAACGGCGATTGTATTTTTATGAGAAGCTGTTTTTCATGGCAGGAATATACTCGGAGGTTTGCCATTGCCTGCCGAGGGACGACCGCTGTTAATAAAAAACCTTTTTCTATATTTTTTGCGATGTTGCTTTGACCAGGGTTTGAACCCAGGTGCTGCGGAGTGGAAGCGCGCACTGCTTACCACTACACCACTTATTTTGTACAAAAAATAAAGAGACAATACTATCCAGAAAGCTCAGATTTTAATCTTCTTCAACCTCTCGTTAATTTTTTTAATAGGAGCTAGGTTTGGAGCAGATTTTTCTCTTCAAAACCGAACATTAACCTCAAATTTAGGTTCCAGACTCTGCAGTATCTTTTGCGCAAAGTTAGGGTTAAATCAATCATTCCAGCAAAAAGAGACAATACTATCCAGAAAGCTCAGACTTTAATCTTCTTCAAGCTCTCGTTCATTTTTTTAATAGGAGCTAGGTTTGGATCAGATTTTTCTCTTCAAAACTGAACATTGACCTCAAATTGAGGTACCAGACTCTGCAGTATCTTTTGCGCAAAGGTAGGGTTAAATCAACCATTCCAGCAATGGGTTGTGGGCTGGGATTCGGGCCGGTCACCTAAAAACCACTACCAATGAAGAGACCAGAAAAGCCTCGCATTACTACTCCCTCCTCCCCCCTCAACTTCGACGACCCTCATACACGGAAAAAGGACTACTATTGACGGATATGCACCTGCAATGTCCGCACCCTATATAGAGAAGGTGCATCTATCCAACTGCTGGATGTAATAAAAAAATACCAGGCTGACATCACCGCAGTTCAGAAAATGTACGGGACATGGCTGCAAAAAATTTCAGAATCTGATATCTACTACAGCTCGGCTGCTCCATTCCAAAACACAGTATCCAACATTTTCTCGGAAAATCCGATTTTTATAAATTGGGATATACTGTGTTCAGACGCACCTTTTAACTAGGTCTATTTGTTGATAGCTGCAAGATTTTCGGAGATACGAACATCTAAAACCTAGTGTAGGTACTAGATACAAATTTTTATCTTTTCCCATCCCAAAACGAAGTATCTGTTTCTCTACATCAATTTTCTTGTTAACACATACTGTGGGACATGGCTGCAAAAAATTTCAGAACCTGACATCTACTACAACTGCCATGAGACGGCAGACAAATTAGGTGTGCGATTCGTGGTTGGGCGGAGACTCCGACACCTTGTCTCCAGGTTCCCCCACCCCAGTGCAACGATCTGTATCAAAGCTAAATTTAACAACATATGCCTAATTTTCGCACACGTAGAAGGACGATGCGACTAAAGAGCAGTTATTCGAGCGTCTAGAAGAAGCGTATGAGCGTTGACAGGGTGGGTAAAGAAGACATATTTGGTCCAATAGTAGGAAAATTCTACCTTCATTACAACGGAATAGGTGGGTGATTACTTCTAGAGCAACCAAAAATTTGCTTTAATAAAGGCGTTCATGCCGCCAAAAAAGCCGTTTATGGCACTAAAAAACCAATATTTCGCACTATCTATTAAATTAGTTAATATATGTACATTAGGGTGCCCATCGAAATTTTTTTTTTTACATTTCTAAACCCTACCACCTAATTTTAATCGTTTTTATGAGGAATATTATTGTCTATTTTGTATATTTTTTGAAGGTCATTTAGAGGTCGGGATCTGTCGATTTAGGTCAGAAAATAGGATTTTGTAGATTTACGAGTTTTTAAATGACTATTTTCGACTCGATTTCAAAGATCGAGAAGAGAATATATAGGTAGGCCTTTAAAATGGTATATAATAATCTATTGTCGGACTAGGCTTGTTGGGATTTTTATCGCGTAAATTAAAAAAATACCCATATTTCTCTTAAATTTTTAAATTTTGACCATCGACAATTTCTACAATTTCAAAATATGGATTACTATCTAAAATTACATCTAGTTTCAAATCAACTGATAGCTCACTTATTGCAATCGCATTCAAACGGTTTCTATAGCTTACAATTAAGACAAATCAATCACTTTGAAAATGAGNATAAATAAAAAATAAATAAATAAATCATCGTATTTAGGCGACTTTTCTTAAATATGCCTCCTTAAGTACCGTCTTGAATATTTTTGATATCAGACAAAACCTACTCCTAAAATATAGCTAGCTTTAAGTTTTCTGAAATTACCATTACGTTGGTGGAGCCCGTGGTTTTTGGCCGATTTCAAACATTTACAATATGGCGCTTAAGAAGCCTCAGCGAAATGTGTTCACCAAATTTAGTTGAGATCGGTCAAGTAGTTTTTGAGATACACATATATGAAATAAATGGGCGGTGCCACCCCCCATTTTTCTAAAATTTCTTGAAAACCCACTTTTTTGCTAAAGAGTGATTGTATTTATCAATATTTAATAAATATTGATGAATTCTTAGTCACGCTGTTCAAAAAATCTGAAATTCCTGGCCATAAACACATATAAATTCAAGGCCGTATTTATGGAAAGTCGCATAACTTCGTGAATTTGTATGCGATTGCAACAAGTGAGCTATCAGTTTATTTAAAAATATGTTTAATTTTGCATAGTACCACATATTTTGAAATTGTGGAAAATATCGATGGTAAAAATATAAAAAAATAAAAGAAATATGTTTTTTTTTTAAATTTACCCTATAAAAAATCCGAACAAACCAAGTCCGACAATAGATTATTATACACCATTTTAATATTCTTCTCAGATTATATTCGACCTTTGAAATCGAATCAAAAATAGTCATTCAAAAACTCATAAATCTACAAAATCCTATTTTCTGACCTAAATCGACAGGTCGCGACCTTTAAAAAATCTATTAAAATAGGCAATAATATTTCTCATAAAAGCGAATAAAATTAGGGGGTAGGGTCTTGAAATCTCCAAAAAAAAAGTATTTTCTATGGACATCCTAATGTACATAGATGCAAAATACTTCTTAAGTAAAATATAGACATTTCATGAGGATCCTCTAAATTTATACTTAGAAATGTAAAGTTTGGAGCCAGCACCATTTTCGACAAGGGAAAAACCTTTGGAAGGTGCCCTAATGTGAATATATCTATACTTAAAAATGAAATGTAAATACGTCAGTGCAGTACACAATAAAGAGGTGAGCTCATGATTCAATAATACAAGGTTAGATAATTATTGACAGCCGCGGTTTGACACTCCCTTACAAAAGGTTGCATTTACGAAGGACGGAGAAAGGGGAAGAATGAAATCTCTTGGTGCGAAAATGGTAGTAGAAAAGTACGCAATTAGTAGTGAAATTCCCTTTGTAAATTCCAATGTATTTGCGGAAATCTGGCATTTTAAACGAAATATTGAACGTAATATTGATATAGCTACGTGAATTACGTAATTTATGTGCTATTTAGCTGTGTAAAACTGCAAAAAGACTCAAAATTAAAATAAAACTACTATAAGATTGGTGTAAACATCCGATTTAAAAACAATTTATGTTTTTATCAGTTAAATAAGCTTCATATGCATATACAAATAAGCATATTGAACAAAAGCTTATACTTCTATTTCACACCAGTGCTACACTTTTTCCAAGCAAATTTGCAAAGAAGCAACACGGTGCCGCTGCTAAGGGAGCGGTGCGAAAGAGACAACTGTCAGTTTATCGAACCTTGTATTATTGAATCATGAGGTGAGCTATTCCGGTAGATTACCCAAAAAGCTGGCATGATATACTATACAGTATTACCGTTGTGCGACTAGTGTCAAATTGACACTTTTTGAAGATCGATGCCCCCTGACACCGACTTTTGAAAAATAAGCTTATTTTCAAACTTAAAAAAAAAAAAATCATGCGACTTTTGCCCCTTTTCTTTGATTTAAAATTCTATATACACATTTTGACGATTCCTTCATAAATTATATTTTTCTTACGTGTTTAAAAATACTTTTAGTATTTACTTTTCAAAGGCACTTAAAAATTACACCTCTGGCCAGATTTTGACTGATTTCAACCTTCTTATTATGTCAAAGATTTTCCGAATATATGTCTAGAAGTAGCGTGAATTAATGCACTGTTTTGTAGCTTAGCATTTCCCCCAATGTGCTTATGTTAAATTTATTTTTTAGTTAATGATGTAAGTATTTTTTTTAACTGCAATTTTGTTTTCATACTAAATGCAAAATATGCATATTGCGTTTTTTAAATATATCCCTCATCAATAGGTTATTATTTTAAGAGAAAAAACTATTTTTGACAGAAAATGGCGATATCCATTAACAATTTATTAAAAATAATGGGGCATAATCATAGATGAAATAAAGTCTACTCTAGAAGCGGATTCACCGTTCGTGTCCGGGCACTTTTTGTTAGTAATTTTACGCGTTCCTTTCCCGTTCTGTCCCACTGAGAGCGCGACAAAAATGTGCTGAACCAAGGCGTATTCAATAAGGTGGTATCGGTACGCCAATAACAAAATGTACATATATTTTGTTTTTTCTTTCGCGGCGAGGACTGTCAAAAATTTCATAGGAAGGATGTGAAAGAGACCAGAAAACCATAAACAATCAACTGCTCAACCAATCAACAGCAGCCATTTGACATATGAAGCCGTGAGGCGAAGAAAAATAAAAGGGTGCTGCTGTCACCTGTTAAACACGTCTTGTTCTGAACACTTTTTGTTCGAATCAAATTGATTTTAGTTTTCTGTCCGAACGACTTGATGATTCGGGTTGCCGCGATCTCCTTTGTATGCGTTTGCAGCGAATTTCAGGTATTATTTACCCTCAGAATCGTGTGTAGCCAACAATATCATCAGCTGTTTGCTTCAGAACAAAATCAAATTTGCCGAACTGAACCAGGGATGATAAATGATTTTTTAATTTTTGTACCAAATGGACAAAAAGAATGTACTAAATCTGCCGAAAAAGTACCAAAATTTAAAATACCAGACATACATAGGTATACGGGTAATTTCCAAACAAATTGTTCATGACAGGTATTTTATATATTTTTTTTGGGATTGATAACCTTATCCTCTAAAATCGTTCACTGACGTGAATACGAAACTGCTTTCAGGTTCTTCAAAAATTAATTTTTGTTCTTATTTTTGCATTTCTGTAAAATTTTTTCCAGAATGTAACATTTGCATATCACTTTTATACTCGTTTATTAGATAAGCCAATGTTGGAGGTTTTTTTCCGCCTTCTTTATGACATTAACGTGACGTTTTTCTTGGGAGGCAGGCTTTTTGTTTAATCTTTCTTCAGCAACCACTTCCCATATTTGCCAATTTTGGAGAAACAAGCGATTTAAATAACAAATCCTTTTCCACCTAAAAGTGACCTTCTGGAAATTTTAATTTTTTTTTTTTCTAAGAGTCCAATTTCATGAAAATATAAAATCAAGGAAACCATTGAAACCCCTGAAGCAATATAAATAGGCATTAGTAATTATCTTATTTGTAGTGTGTTTTGTATAAAAAACTGGGTGACTTTCCGGAAATATTAAGGGCCAATTTCACAATGCGTAGTTAACTCAGAATCGGGAGTTAGCTACAGAATTTTGTACTGAAAATCTCTAGTTAACTGTCGATTCTGAGTTAACTACGCACTGTGAAATTGGCCCTAAGACTTACTCGTTAATTTTAAATACCCTTTTAATCTTATCGGTATTAATTAATCACTCTGCTTTAGTTAGAACAGTTTTTTGGTTCGGCCAGTGTGTACTGCACCAAAAATCTGGAAAAATTTCGTCCGTGGACTTGGGTGCGTAACGTTATATGTACTTGTACTAAGTATCCAGTACAAATCAATAATTCAAGTTAATCAACAAAACCATACAAATATGTTTATTAAGTGCGAGTAGCACAAAAATTTTACAAAGAAACAGTTGCTTATATTATAACAGCAACTGTTTGATGATTTTAAAAAGTCTTTCGTTTTTAATAAACACCACGCATTTACTTGTATAAAGTAGGAAAAATATGACTGCATTTTAATCCACAAGTCGTATTTCTACACAATTCATCGTAATGCTTTGACAAAATTGTATCAAAAAGTCGATGTACTTTTGGGATCCAAAATGTACCAAAAAGATACAATTGTACCATCAATTTCATCACTGAACTGAACGCTGAACCATACTTCACGAAGCCGCCTTAAGCAGCTTTTTTGGCAGATTTTCTGTTGAAAAAAAGCTAAAACTAACGTTAGAGTCAATTTTGTTTCGACTATGAATATGCCCTAATAAGTTTCGAAAGGTAAAATAATGAAAGTCTTTACATACATCGTATAAATGATTTTAATGACTTGAAGACACTTCACTGACTTTTCAGCTGTAACCCTGGTACTATATATTATACGGGAACAAAGTTATTGTCACATCCAACCTACACTAGCACGTGTGCACATACAGTTATCTAGCTTTGAAGTGTTGTAAATTTTTAGTTGAACGGCAATACAGCGTTTTATTTAACACTACGGTGAAACGAAACTGAAGGGTTTAGGAAATCGTAAAAATACTTAAAAAAAATACATGTGGTGAAAGTAATTGAATTTGTGGAAAAAATCAACAAAATGCATTTTTTGTAACAATTGCAAAAAATTCCACTACAAATACGGCTTATTTATAAGATTATTTTCTGGAAATGACATCTACTTTATTAGTTCCCTGAAAACATTTCAAACTATACCCTTGCAAATTTTTGGTTGCCCTAGTTATTACCAACTACGCAGAAACTGGTATGACGAATATTGCCAGAGCACAGCATATAAAACTACCATGCAATTAACGCGACGATTGAGCCGTACCGGAATAAGCGTTCTTAGTAGATATTGTATATAAGATCTTATCGACGATATGGGGTGATAGACTGAAGCCCTTCATGAACCAAATGATTAGACCTAAGCGGTTTGGGAAATCAACCATCAAGTTAAGAGAACCGACAGACGCCATCCTTTTGTCGATTTTAAATAGTGAAAAGCGATGTCTCACTATCCAGTAAAATCACGGTGCTGCTGGCGAATGCAGATGATATTGACATCGTCGACCTAAGGCCCAGGGACATCAGGGCAGCATTTTCTAGTTCAGAAAAAGAAGAGAAAGAGGTTGATCCTGCTGTGAACACGGGTAAGACGAAATACCTCCTGAGAGAATAAATATTACCAACAATGTCAGCCTGGAAATCAGGCGAAGAATAACTTTTTTCAGCAAGTGTTACTTTCTGCTCGGCAGGAAATCGAAAGACCCTTTTCTCGGCGTATAAAAATTACACTCTCAGTTTATATGTCGCAGACACATGGACAATGTCGATCAAAGATGAGAAGGCTTTGGTGGCTTTCAAGAGAACTATTCTATGTAGGATCTATGACCTTGTTCGCGCGGGATGACGCGACGGAATGACCAACTGTACGAGCTTTTTAATGACATGGATATAGTCAAGCGCATTAAAATACAACGTTTGCTAGTTCGGCATTTTATACGCAAGATCAACTCGGCGCTCATGGGTGGACAACGAAGAAGAGGGCACCCACAAATGCAATGGAAGAAACAAGTGCAGAATGACTTATCTGCACTCTGTATGTATAACTGGAGCCACTTCGCAAAGGGGAGATGCCCAAAACCGACGAATGAAAGAAGGAGCTAACTATTTCTGGGATTTCCCATATGTATGTCTGAATTCATTTTAACATTCCGAATTAGGGTTATCTTGAAAGCACGTCTGTATCCATTACAATGACACGATTTGTCAATAAGATGGCATCAAAAAGCAGGGAATTCATTTGCCAAGGTACTCTCAAAGCCGTTGGAAGATTCTCTTTGCCTCAACTATCCAAATTTCATGTAAGCACATAGGCTAAAACCTTACAAATAGATACTGTTAGGAATCCTCTGCGGTGATGGCATGCATCGTTTCACAAGAACACATACATTTCAATACCAGTAGATTCGTAGTAAATTTCGATAACCTCTAAACTTAAAGAAGAGGGCACACCCAAAGGACTGAATTGTCTAACTGGGGATCTCATGTCTAGGGTATAGGAGGAATTAGGGTAATCCATATGAAAGGTATCACCAATTACCGCGCTAAAATACTTTTCAGCAAATGTGTATAAGGTTCGATCGAGGATATGGTGTGAAACACTGACTTTCATAAACCATAACCTCAGACCTAGAAAATGCACTATTGCCATGATTTTTACAGTGCTGGAAGTACTCTTGATAAGCAGGAAGCAAAATAAATTTGTATTACTTTAGCTTTAAAATATACATATGTACATGTCTTTACAATTAAATATATATATATATATTTTTTTAATATTACAGGCTGTTGCTGGAATTGGACCCACTGTCATAAGTATAGCCGTATTGTATATTTTCAGTCTCACATGGGGCGCAATTGTGTATCCAAACTTGAACTCATTCCCAGACTGGGCGGCGGCCGCGGCCCTTAATGCAACAACACATTAACAGTTTTCACTGCCAATTTGTTGATAACGTACAGAATTTCTGGTACATGATGTATAAAATCTACCAATATTTAGTTAGGTAAGCAAGAAATGTCGAATTTCGAAGCCGATAAGAAGTAAAAAAAGTGAAAATCTCTCAAGTGGGCCATCCAAAATGTGATGGTCAAGATTTTTTCAAACAAATCACTTTATTCGGTTTACAACCATAAAAAAAAATATATAATTTGAACAATTTTGCAAAATTCGAATCTTTACAAGAGTTATTGTTGTTAACTTTTTTTGATGAATTCAGTCATTATTTATTATCTACTGATTCATAGCAGGTAGCTTGCTGATTTTTTGGATGATAATAGCTAATTAGACACGTTTTAGCCCGATTGTTTCAATTTTTCAAAAAATAATTATTTTGTACAAAATTTTTAAGTTTTATAAAAAGTTTGTATAAACAAATGGAAATATTTATTACTTCTCGATCAGATTTATTAATCGTTTACATTGAATATCAATCCTTATTCTATAATACATTATTTAAATTGAATGCAGTCAAAAGTTATAAATTTTTTTCGCTCCTGCCACGGATGCTTTTGCTTTCATGCCGCGCGGACTCGCAGCGAGCGTGGTGCAACTAGAGAATGGAAAAAAATAAAATTTATTTATATACAAAGCATAGATTATCTAATACAATATTTATAAAATATAAGTTATAAAAATTAAAAATCAGGCTAAAGCGCGTCTAATTAACTATTATTTATCATGCAAAAAATCAGCAAGCTACACAAGCTATGAATCAGTGGATAATAAATAATTACTGAGTTCATCAAAAAAAGTTAGTAACAATAACTCTTGCAAAAATTCGAATTTTGCAAAACTGTTCAAATTATATATTTTTTTTATGATTGTAAACCGAATAAAATGATTTAATTGAAAAAATCTTGACCATCCAATTTTGGGTGGCCCACTTGTGAGATTTTATATGTATGTACATTAGACTGCATCACTCTCCATACAAACAAAAATCGGTACTGTTTTTCCATTGGAATTATAAAATCTATTATATTTTAAGACGTCCACCAAAATATTTCGGAAAAATATTAAGATTTAAGCGAGCTGGACCGATTTGAAGATCGACCTATCTGGGCAGCCAGTTTGAAAACGCCCTATCTCAAAAAACTTTTGAAGAATTCGTTTCAAAAACGCCCTATCTCAGCTTCCGATTCAAAACGCCCTATATCAGCACATTTTCAGTACATTTTGAGGTAAGATAGGGCGTTTTTGATCCGAACTCTGGGATAGGGTGTTTTTCAATAAAATTCTGAAATAGGGCGTTCTTGAAAAGTTGTTTGAGATAGAGCGTTTTCGAACTGGCTGCCGAGATATGTCGATCTCCCACTCAGCAGTCGATATACGAGTACATATGTACAAACATACATATGTACAGTACCTATAGTCAGCAGTTTTGCATTTGAAATTACATATAAACACAAGGTTTTCCCATAAAATTTTGTAGAACCCTGCAAACCAAAGGGTGGGGTGCAATAAGGCCATACACAATAAAGACATATGGCAATAAAGCCATACAAGAAATTTTGCAAATGAGAAATAAAGCCATATCTTGTACTAATATGTTGCACTGAGAGGACATGGCTGGCAATGCTGTTTGCATATCTTGTAATAATATGTTGTATTGAAAAGACATGTTTAGTATAGGGGACAACGGCCAACAAATCAGAATCCTCCTTTCTACAAGCCGGGTAATAATCCTGAATTTATTTCGCTTTTGAAAATTGGTATGTAGAAAAACTTTTCGCGAGTGACGGTCGCCGCGTGAACGGCGGAGCCCGGCGCGGCTGGACGCGAAGGAGAGTAATTGCATGTTTAAGGTAACGTTGTAGTTCAAGGCGGTTTAGTAGCTTTGTTGCGAACTTTTTCCATTGTTTAAATTAAAGAAATATAAAAATTTGAAAGCGAAATAAAGCCATATGGCTTAATTACCAATTGTAATTGGAAATAAAGCCATATCGAATTTATGGCCTTATTACCAAAAATATATGGCTTTATTTCCAATATGGCTTTATTGCGTATGGCCTTATTGCACCCCACCAACCAAAGTTCCCCAAATCTTAACGAAATCTTTAGGAGTATCTACTTACTGCTAAATTTTTTTGTTTACGAATCTTCAAAGAAAGTTATATGAAGTGGGTTAACCAAGGTTAATCAAGGCATATTCAACAAGGTAGAAGTGACAATTCAGTCGAGCTCTCTCATAGCTGACTGTAATGTCAAAAAATGTAAACAAAGAAACTAACCCTCTGTTATGCATTTACCATATGTGATAAAACTAGGGGTATTCATCTAAACCGATAACTTTATCAAGCAGATATTCTCATAAATATAAGCGCTCTGTTACATGAACGCCCCATACTCTCCTTTCGTCTACACTTGCAACAATAGTCGTGTTTTCTTTGGTTATCGAGCTCAGTATCAGTAATTTTATACTTCTAGCACGAGGATTAAGAATTTTTAGAAACAACCTCACTAAATGAGAAAAAATTATATTTAGACGAGGTAATATGCATTTAAATAAATATTTAACATAAAGGCGATTTATTTGAACCAAGTTAAAAGAAACAATGGCAGAATGAAAACAGAAACTGTGCAACCAAATTATCATTGAATAAGACAAAACGGAACGGCTAATGAATTGAACCAGATCTCTATCAGGATCATATCGTTATTGTTGAATTTGCGTGCAAAATGTTTATGCGGATCCCGATTATTGCCCAAGAAAACACTGCTAGAGTTTCGACAGGGTTGCACTGGCTTCAGTTTATCACGTTTATTCAGTTAAATCGCTGGAGAAATTCATCAGAAATGTGTAAACGAGTTTCCATACAAATTTTTACAGTTAATTATAAGGTTTACACAATTATAAGTTTATACGGTTTATAATGCATTTATAAGGTTTGATGAATACCCTTAATATTTTTGAAATGAAAGTTTTTGTAATAATGAAAATATTTAAAATCTCATTAGAATCACCTCCATTTTAGTTATTGCATCTTCATTTTAATACAAATGTGAAAATGCATACTTACAAACAATTACACACTAAATGAAACACACTCATTTATAACACCATTTTGACAATTTCCTTGCTTTTACTATCCCAATGTTTTTGAGCATTTATTTTTTTATTCAAATACTTAATATAAAAGTATATTAGACATTAAGAAAATTTTGATTCGTCTAAATTTACATCAGAACTTCAATAATTTAGTTATTAAATGTTTGCATTTCGAAATATCCTTTCCATTCAATTTATTACAAATTACTTTCGGTTTCTTTATGTCAACAAGGAATTCTGGTTCAGGTTTTATCAGACCACCATTTGAAATTTGGTCTATCCATGTATATGACTGGGAGATTTTCTTTTCATATTCGGTATGATAAATACTCGGCTGCGATGGGCAACAAATAAATTCACGCGCACACGTGAAGAGTCTCCTAATTAAACATCGGCAATTTGCCCACCGTTATATTTGCATAAAAATATTTAAAAAAATTTAAAAAAAATTTTGAACGGAATCGTTAGAATGAGATTTTTGATGCTGTTTTTTTTTACTTTTTTCAAAGATTGGTTTACGAAAAACTTGAATAACTGGGCCAAAAATGGTCGGATTTAGACTTATCGGATCTCAGTAGAAAGGTATTTTCACACTGTTTTTATTTCTGTCCAAAAAAAAGTAATTTGTGTCCCACATTTTTTTTTTTTTAAATACCAAAGCATCTTAATTCAACTTTGAATGGCGTTCGTTCATCCTACCTTTCTCTCCCATGCTTTGAATGAGTTTATTAGCAAAGGAAAGGGTGAGAAAAAACCTTTCCAATGACACCTCGTAAATCTAAATCGGAAGAGTTTAGGTTCAGTTATTCAAGTTTTTCCTATACCAATCTTTGAAAAAAGTCAAAAATCTCATTACGATTCCGTTCAAATATTTTTTTAAAATTTTTTTCTAATATTTTTATGCAAATATTTTAAGCTGAAACCGTTTCGTCATTTGAGGGGATTTTTTCAAATAAAATATTTAAGAAACTATTTTTATTTATAAAAAAACTCCATTTTTGGAGGTATTTTCAAATCGGTCCAGCTCACTTAAATCTTAATATTTTTCCGAAATATTTTGGTGGACGTCTTAAAATATAATAGATTTTATAATTCCAATGGAAAAATAATACCGATTTTTTTTGGATGGGGAGATATACAGTCTAACGTACATACATACATACATACATACATGGATACAAAGTTCGAGTAGGATTTTAAATTAATAGTCAATTATGGAAATGTGCAAAAGTATATTTTCTTAAAAGTGAAAAGTTGCCTAAATTTGTAAAGCAGTTGGCACTCTTGGAATTGATACAGCAAAACAAATACACTGAATGTGGTAAATTCTTATGGCTTGCTCTGAATATATATATATATATATATATAGTATATGTTTGAATGTAAGCTGTATATTCAAAACTAGACTGACCAATTATCATAACCAAAATTTGAAATTGAATAAAGTAAGTAAAGAAGTGTAAAAAATGAATGATAATTGTTATACCAAAAGAAAAGCAAAAAAGTTTATATTTTTACAATACAAACACGTCTATTTGTGAAAATTTAATGAATAGTGTAAATTTTTAAACGACATATTATAACGGCAACAAATAAATGCACAAATATTACTATTTTTTAATTGTTTGTTGACTATTTTTATATGAAAACTAGCTGATACCCACTACTTCGTCATCGTAGCTAAATACTTTTGCATATAGGCAATTGCAGATTTTTAAAGCTAAAAGTTAAAAAATAATGTCCCGCAGTCGGATTTAAAATGAAATGGTCTCTAAATTTAATAGACGTATTTTGACATAATTTTCAATGGTATGTCTCTCGAAAATAGCTACAACTTAAGAGTCGACCTTATCTCGACTATGCTACGGCCTTTATTTCCGTATGGTTACAATTTATATGAATGCATTACCTGGTTAGAGTTTTACTCTTATCTTTGGAAAGTTTTGTAATAATATTTGCCTTTTTAAATAAAAAATTCTCATATAAAACAACGAAAATTTAAATTTAATGTTTATATTTACAAAATTTCTT